AAGCTTGAAAAACAATTAGCGTACAAAAAGAATAAACCTGAAAAGCAATTTCTGTAAACAATACATGTACTACATGCTCATGTATTGTTTAATTAGTTTTTGAAACAAAATTATGGTATTATCGATTTTCAAAACGCATAAATCAAAGTACATGTAACCCAGCCGTGAACAGAACACAATACAGTGTTTGTTAAAATTATAAATACGTACTGTAAAATGGTTGATCTGTTGGATTAAACAAGCAATTTATTATCATTCATTTCGCTGTTGTTTTTAATGATACGTAGCATGAACGAGTCGAGGCATTTCTTTATCAGACAAAATTGTATAACGATTACTGACAATTTTAATTCATTTTGGCAACAGCTTGACGCGAGTAATTTCTGTTCTGATTTTCGACCTATAAAACTAAGTGTCGTGTGAATGAATATGCTTTACATCATATATATATAAAATATACGTCCTAAATAGATTAGGATTTGTACACGTTGTTTTATCAAGCAAACAGTATTAAAAGAACCTATTAATGGATTCCATTCCTTAAACAATTAAAAATTGTTTTCAGTTCTTTCATTTCTCTAGTGCTACTTTTAATACAGCGAATTAAACATTCTACGCTTGTGTCTTCTGAAATTCTATCAATTCTAACAGTCAACTTGTATTTCAAATACATGTAGAATGATATTTATTCTTCGGGCAACAGAATTAAATAAAAGCGAGATTCAATTGAAATATGTGCAAAGTCGGTAGATAAATAAATTTTAAAACCATTAAAAACTTTAGTCAATATTCTCTTAAATTATAGATAAGTTTCACTATGAAAAATAAACAAAAAATTTCGCCTTCTTCCACATCGGATACTTTTGCCGAAAATATACCGGCAATTTCTGTACCATTTCCACCAAATATAACATCAGACGATTATCTTAAAAGAAGAATAGATGGCAGTCTTCCGAACAAATCAGTGAATTCTTTTATGCTCTACCGAATAGCATTCAATAAAGAATTTCGTACAAAAGGATTAAATGTAAGACAACGCATATTATCTCGTCAAGTCTCGGATTCTTGGCAGAATGAACCCGAACACGTAAAACGAATGTATAGGCATCTTGCGATAAAAGCTCAACAAGAACTTGATCAACTGCGTACATGTAATTTTGGATCCGTCCCACTTTTCATCTTTGCGGCAAAACCTTTTAATTCAGATATAATCAATGACGATTCTCCAGGAGCAGAAGCAGCGCCAAACTCGATCCAAATCACATCTACAAATAGCAATCACGACGAAAAAAACCCTTTTAATTCGGATAATATTTATTTTAATGAAAATGATGATTCATCAATGTTCTTTCCAGCAGAGGCAGCGCCAGACTCGTTCCAAATTACATCTGTGAATAACAACAATAACGGCGAAAACTCTTTTAATTCAGATAATATTAATTCTTATGAAACTGTAATCAATGATAATTCCCCAATGTTCTCTCCAATAGAAGCAGCGCCAGACTCGTTCCAAATTATCAATAACGACAATAATGACGAAACCACTTTTAATTCAGATAATATTGATTCTTGTGGAATTGTGATCAATGATAATTCGCCAACGTTCTTTCCCGCAGAAGCAGTACCAGACTCGATTCAAATTATCAATAACGACAATAACAACAAAACACCTTTTAATTTGGATAATATTAATTCTTATGAAAACATAATCAATGAGTATTCTCCAATATTCTTTTCAGCAGAAGCAACGCCAGTCTCGATCCAAATTAATTTTACCAATTATAATTCAGATAATATTAATTATTATGAAAATATAATCAACGATAATTCTTCAATGCTCTTTCCAACAGAAGCAGCGTCAGACTCGTTCCAAATCACATCTATCAATAATGACATTAACGACGAAAACCCTTTTAATTCAATCATGATCAATGATAATTCCCCAATGCTCTTTCCAACGGAAGCTGTGCCAGACTCGATCCAAACTACATCTACTACCAATAACGAAAATTATATACAAGATTCTAAAAATCATTTAAATAATTTTCTACAAATATCATCTGACGGAACTTTCATAAACTATTCAACATTCTAATGATGATAAATATTTAAACCGATAATAAAGTCGACTTTAATAAACAATGATTAATCAATCAAATTAATACTTTTTTGTTAAGGCAAATACATAAACTCATCAATTCAGGATTATTGTTCAGGTCTCTTCAAACATTAGCCGGGTTACCTCATTAATAAAGCAAAATCAATGTATCATAAGATGTATTGTTGCCGTCGCAACGAAAAGACTCGTGACCACGGAATATTACCGAACTTCTTAATTTTGAGTAATAATGTGTAACGAAACGTAAATTAGGATTATCCCGAAACGCGTACCGGTACGCATAGATCCTACCTTATAGTATCAACATTCACGTCGTTTCCCCAAAAACAAGCAAAACGCTTACCTTGCGCGCCCAAGGTATTGATTACCGTCATAGATCCTGACTTGACAACTCTTATTGTGTACACCCTCCTTTATTGTGTGATCCATAATTATAATTACTTTTGGAAACGTAACAATAGTTTTTTATTTAGTTTATTCTTTTTTACATAAATATTCTTACATTAAATCCCATCACGCAAAAACCCGTAACAACGAATTGTACTTTGGATTACTGTGTAATAACAGAAGAAAGTTGTGTATATATATAGAATAGCTTTCGAAGGATTGCAAGCAGGCGATGTGTGGTTTGAAGAAAAATAACTGAATAAAAAGTATTTTTTAATTCTTACTAAAACAAAGTCGATAGCTTTAATTCTATTTGTGCTTAACAAATTGAAGGCTTACTGCTTTGGCCATACAAAGTCAATGCATCTTGTCTGATTCCTTGAATATTGATATTATTACTTTGATATTATCCCTTGATACTGATGTTATTATTTTGATATTGATCCATTATTTTATTGTTTTGCAAAATACATTATCATTTTGAAGCTTACCTTGTTCCTAATTGCTCAATCTCTGTGAAAGATTGGCACATTAGAACTTTAGAATCCACTTTGTGTAAATCATTGTCTTTTCTTTCAATCCTTGTACATATTCAGTCAATAGACAATTTAACTTTTGAATTGAGTGTGACAGTATCAATAATTATGAAATTTATATTTGAAAAATTATTTATAAATATAGATATCTGAGAATAATAATGTAACAATTCTTATTTTACAGATCACTAAGTCACAGTTGCTGTACTATATTTATTTTCTGTCAGAAATAACTAGAACTATACCATTATTAAATATCAATAAAGAAATTAATTTTTAATAAAAAAATTTTAAATTCGATATTTTCAAATATTATCTGTTTAAAATTGTTTATTCATTTTCATTGGAAAGCTAAAATTTTCAAGAATTTAAGATGTTTGTTTTTATTTTTAATAATTTGCTTATTTCGCTTGGTATCATAATTTATTATCAACATCTATGAATATAGAGTCATTAGAAAGGATATGTTTTGGATCCGAATAAGATTCGACTTTTAAAGATTTGGAAATATCAGAACTATCGTTATTAGACTTATGCGAAAATCCCTCGTTTATTATGTATAATATGGCATTTCCTATTCCGCCGAATCCACCTAATATTTTAAATGAAGAACAATTAAAGAAATAAATATCATTAAATTTGACATGAATAAATTATTTGCCAATTTAATCCGTATGCTACTACCGACCTACAGGTTCGATCATGTACATCCAAGTATCTTCAATCTCAAAGATGTATGCTATAACAGACACAAAAACTGGTATCTAAATGTTAAAGTTTTGTCAGCTATCGGTCAATATTAGAAGATTTTGACTAATTTTCTGTTGATATTGATTTTTACCCACTGTAACAAGAAAAGGAGGATATATCGTGCAATATTTCTTGTGACACGATACTCCAATTTGCTGAGTGATGGATCCGATTCTTCGTGTACTTGTTGACTTTGATATGCTAACAACATTAAAATACGTAAATATGCAAATCCTGTCAAGACAAAGATTGAAAGTTGGATGACTAATGCAAGTATTCCAACAAGTCTGGTTTGTGACGCTCCAGCACACCTTATTTTATTGAATGTCATGAAAAATTAATATTTGAAGGATTTTGCAAATTACATGAGCATTTACATACCACCATTTTTGTGGCCCATATCCATTATTGATGCTTGCTGGTAATAGGGGTAGCGTGGCCATAACGAAAACGGTTAAGAAAAGCTTGTAATCGTATTTCCCATAATTAATTCGCATTTGCCGACAAACTGGTTAAAGAAGAATATTGATTCGAGCATAATTTTTTAACCCATATAAATGCGATGCAAGAGCAACTAACCTCGAAGATAGGTAGACATGGATACCACAAGGAAGAGAAATACGTTTAGACACTGAGTCCAAACTGATAATGCACCAACCATCTCACAAACTGGACTAAACCAAGGAACGGCATATGCAGCTCCATAGCTCTTCAAATAAATTAAATATTTACATGTATATACACAAGTCTAAAGATATATTTGGTGCAATTTGATCTTGCTAGAATTACAAAGGAATATTTACTGTGTTGATCGCGAATGTACTGGTTATGAAAAAATCTAAAAAGTTTCATAACAAAATTAGGGTTTAAAATTATATACTGTATGAATTCTTTCATTGAAAAATTATTATTGTCTAAAAACAAAGCTCACCGGTTGTTACAGTGTAAAATGGTAGCCTTAATGACATAGGAAGTGATTCGAACTTGTTATTTTTCCATTTCACATATGTTCGATATATTACATAACTAGAACCGATTGAACTCAAAACAAAAAAGGTATAAATGAATGTAAAAACAGTGTAAAAAGCTTGATCTTTTACGCCATTATATGGTTGTGTTTGCGGCCAAGTTAAAGGAGCATTCAGGTTTGCATAAGTAGTCGTAGGTGTAGTATTAGTCACCATTTTGGACAATAATGGATTCAAACATAAATATGCAAATTGAACTCGAGCCAAAAAATATCGAGTGCTAAATTAATGTCATCTTTTTATATCAGGTATCGTATCCACGTACAGGCCAAAAATTATCAATGAGTACCGCATGTGTGTAACTAAAATAGGTTACTTCATACATGTGCATGCATAACTTAATGATGGATCAATACTGCTTGACGTGAATGATTTGTCTCCATTTTTAACGATATCAGCTCACTTCTTTTTGTAACAATTGCATTATACCCACAAAACGGGAATTCCTATTTGATGTTATCTTTTGTCATACAATAAAATTCAATGAAGTATTTTCTTATATTGGTTATCTTAAAAACACGTGTACTATTTACTTTGTCCTGAGAGAAATAATTCTCAGCTTGACCTATAACGATAGATCGAACTATTCGAACTATCCAAATCAGGTTAATCTATTTACGCGCAAAACACTGGTCTTGGCGTAAAGAAATATCTTTTTGAAACGTCAAGTTATGCCTAAAATTGAATGGTTCTATAAATGAATCCCAAATGTCCAAATATCTTGAGATTGAATAACGATAACAAACTGGATCTTCTTTTAAAAGCGCTACATATCAAGTTTCATATCAGATTTTCACGAAGCTTAGCTCAAGCCATAGAAAATGTGTCAAATTCAAAAATCTGATTCACAAAAACAATTATGTAATTATGTTATTAATTGTGGCAGCTGAAGCTGAAATTGACCAATGAAATAGAGAATAAAAACTGATCAGCCAATGGGATGCGCTAATTTCAGCTTCAGCCAGATTTCCCGACATTAATTATCGGTTCATTGGCATTAGGTTTTTTGATTGTTGAAAAATCGGAAAGAGAAATAAATTTTAGCATCAAAAAACTTGGTCATAAAAAGTGGGAACGAAATCCATGTCGGATTGGAAACAACCAAATTATGATTGGAGGTACGACTAGAGTTAGAATAAGGATCACTCACATGGTAATAATAAGGATGTCACCTAAAAATCCAATGATATATTAAGTTGTGGCTCTACTGAAATTACTCCTATTTTATAAAAAAAATTAATTAAACTCCATGGAATAATAATAAATAGAGCTACAAATACGACTGCATACATTCGAGCATCACATTCATTTATATGCAACCTGCAAGAACGCTAACTGAACTGACAACACATATATTATATATATTATATATAAATTTTCGTTCACGAACGATTGTTAAATGTCATGATGTAACTTTGAACCCAATATCTCAAAATTCAGTGATCCCATTTAGATGAAGATATTACCATAAGATTGGGCCAAATTTAATGGGAATATTTTCATTTAAATTGGAGCATTTTATTTAAGATATTGGATTCCAAAGTGGCAGATTCTTTTTAAGGATTTCCGGTAATAGTTTGTAGGAGGGTGCATCTCGTAACTTCTTTGCAGTTTTTATAGCGATAAATAATTTACTACCGTATATCTCCGAATATAAGCAACCAAAAAATGCAAGGTTTTGGCAGGGCAAAAGGGGGGTTGCTTATATTCGAGTATAAATTTATTATGTTTTATATATAATATTTTCAGAACCTCAGGTCTTAAAAAGAGGTGGTTGCTTATATTCGGGGGTTGCTTATATTCGGAGATATACGGTAATATGAGAAATGATAATTTCAGTCGATTTAAGCAAAAACGTGAAGCAATTAGAAATTATGCTTGTAACCTTTAGGAACAAATGAACAAATTAAATCTTAAAATTGACTTTTAAAAATTTTGAAAGGAAAACAAAAAGTAATCGTGCATACTCCAAAATATCGAATTTTTGAATGGAATGGTGCGAAAAAGAAACGCAATTTCACGATAATGATAACGTAATCATCTCGATCTGTATACATAAGTATGAATTTAATCATAGCATTACGGTACAGGAATTAAAAACATGACATGTAATTGCAATGCACGCGGTGTTTTGGACGCGTCGAACGGTCAAAGCCCATCTTGATGCATCACTTTGGAGAAATGGTCTGATTGAAAGGTGCATCAATGGACGCCGACTAATGAATCAATGTAAGGATGATTCATTAGGTAGACGCCGCGACAAAATGGGTCTGGACGGGGGAAGAAGCGGAGAAATTACATTATAACGGCGACCTGTCACGGAATAGAAGTAGAATAATTATGATTCCAATAACTTATAGAATCTAATAAATATAATAATCTTTTCCTGTAATAAAATCATATGCACAAATAAAATTAAAGTTAATAATAAAAATACACATCCATTCATTATTGTCACATTGACCTGGTCCAAAGTACATGTTAATTGAGTGGTCCACAGAAAGCTACAAAAATATTAACATCATAGCGCTACCTCAAAGTAACGCTAACAGAATAAACGCGGAAAATATACTCGAAGAACCCACCATGATCGTACAGTCTCACAGTTTATCCAGTAGATTCCCAGAAAAAAATCCATTGGTTAAAAACATGTATCATGCTTACGCATCAGCATGACAAATCATTACGAGTATATAAAAAAAGGGGATAAATCTAAAAAACCAACTTTTCTTTTTGAATGTACGAATGTAACAATATGGGCAAAAGAATTACGGGAAGTTCAGTCGCAGCTCAACATTTTACGTGGTTTCAATTTTCTCAGTACTAAAAGACACTTTATGAACAGTCTTCTCAAAGTTGCAAGAGAAAAAGACAATGATATTTACTGTGTATTTCAGGTCCAAGTTTTACAACACGTTGATAATGTGACGCTGGCAAATTGGCAAAATTTTTGGCTGCCGAATGACCGTCAACAAGATCAATGACCAACGCCACTAATAACTAGATCAATAACAGCACTCACGTTGCAGATAACACAGCAGCAGCAGCAGCTTCTTCAGCAACTACAAAATCCATCTACAAAACCAGCTGCAACACCAGCAATAGCCATCCGTAATCGTTAACAAAAGTTCCCACTACAAATATATGAAAAAAATGATCCCGGTTTCAATGAGAAAACAAGCAAAATAAATAAAACAAACAATAGTAAGTAGCTTATAAAGCTGTATCACAAAGCAGCCCGTATTAAAACGCAAAACAAAGCTGCGGCGCAAACAGTTTGTTAACAACTCCGGGATACAGCCTAAGATACCTCGCTCATTAACTTGTTCATTTATAGCGACTGTGATATTATTTCTTCTTGTCCTTCACAATCATTAACAAAAGTTCACACTACAAATATATGAAAATAATGAACCCGGTTCCAGCGAGAAAACAAACAAATAAAACAAACAAGAGTAGCTTATCAAGCTGTATCGCAAAGCAGCCCGTAATAAAACGCAAAACAAAGCTGCGGCGCAAACAGTTTGTTGACAACTCCGGGATACAGCCTAAGATACCTCGCTCATTAACTTGTTCTTTAACTCACCTTTATAACGACTATGATATTATTTCTTCTTGTCCTCCGCAATCGTTAACAAAAGTTCCCACTACAAATTTATGAAAATAATGAACCCGGTTCCAGCGAGAAAACAAACAAATAAAACAAACGAGAGTAGCTAATCAAGTGTATCGCAAAGCAGCCCGTAATAAAACGCAAAACAAAGCTGCGGCACAAACAGTTTGTCAACAACTCAAATGATAAGGTGAAGAAAATTTATGTTTGATTCCAAAATTTGTTGATAATTCTTTGACTATTTTATTAACAAATTCTAATCTATTATCTAATTGAATTTCTTTAGGATATTCATGTTTAATAATTATTTCTTCAAAGATGAATTTTGCAATTGTAGTAGCTTTCTTGTCAGGAACTGCTTTAGCTTCAGGTTATTTTTGTAACAAATTATATTTTATTTCACAGATTATTACTATGCCACATATTGTACTATACGTGATACTGCATCACAAAAATCATCTCATCTGCTAAGAAAGTTATATGATATATTTGAGTTATTTTAGTCATAGATAGTTTTCTTAGTAGAATTTCTCTTTTTTCATGTTCTACTAATTTAGCTAGCATATTACTTAATTTATTTATTTCTTTATTTATTCATTATTAATTTCTATTTATTATATTATTAATTTTATATAATATTAAATTATTATTTAAAGATACTATTTCTATTCTGTACTTTTAATAATCTAATAACAAATAAAAAATAAGTTTTAACATAATAATTTTGTCTGTCTTGAATTGGTTTTCTGTATGAATTCTATTTTAATTATATTATTATATATCTTGAATCTTCTATGTGAATTTTCCTGATATATTATATTATATAACTAAGAAGATCATAACTTTGATAATAATAGAAAAGATTAATATTATATATATATATATACCATATATCTTCAAATATAAGCAATCTCCAAATATAAGCAACCATCTCTTTTTAAGACCTGAGATTCTGAAAATATTATATATAAAACATAATAAATTTATACTTGAATATAAGTAATCCCCTCCCTTTGCTCTGCCAAAACCTTGCATTTTTTGATTACTTATATTTAGAGATATATAGTACTTATTATTAACTTCTTCTTTTTATATACTTCTTATTCATATCTAAACATACTATATACTTATATATACATATATATTCATAATATTTAATTCTGCTCTCTCTGATAAATAATTTTAATAACTTCTCACTAATCTTACTAGTCTCATCTAATAATAATAACAACTTATAATCACTTTTAATAATAATAGTAATAATAATAATAATGATAATAATTAATAAGACAATAATAATAATTCTTCTTTATCAAGAATTCTACTCAAGATTCTCATATACAAAGAAAAACTATATGAAAATATTAATATCTGGATATTATAAGTCTTTAAAATACTTATTATTCAAGAAATTACTAATAAATAAACAAGAATTCTATATGTTAAAACTGGATTTAAAAATACTGCTCTGTATTCTAAATAAAGTACATACTACTAGAGAATAAAATGTTTTTACTAATTAGAATAATTTTATTTCTGAAGTTTGTAATATATTTCAACTATCTAATTATTAATAATATCTTTATTATCAACTTTATCAACTTCATTAAACTGATACTATACAGAAGTATAATACTAAATTCAGAAATATATAAAACAAATTGAAAATATAAAAGAATTAGATTAAGTTATATATTTTATTAATGATCTCAAGCCTACAACTAAAATAAAAGTAGAATATCAAGTATCAGAAACTTTTAATGCTACTTGAAAACTTATAATTTATTATAATACAGCTATATTTGATATTAGTCATTCTCTTAAAAATGATAATAATAATTGCAATTAAAAATACAAAAGAAATTAGAATTTATTTTATAATAATATATATAATAATACTGATCTTATACTTATGAAACTAGATCATGCTAAAAATTCTTATTAATTTAATAATAGTAATAGTAATAATAATAGTAATAATTATAATAAAAATAATAATAATTATAATTATTATAATTATGACAAACTAAATTATTTTGCCAAGGATTATTATTCAAAAGGAAAGACTAAAGTAAATAATATTGAAGATAATAGTAATAATATAATCATCACACAAAATAATAATATTAAATTTACTTATCTTTAGAATAATTATGAAAAACTTCTGAAATTTAATGACTATATAAATGAAAAGTTTACTTGAATTTTGCTTGATAATAAAGTATTACAAAACTTTATTGATAAAGTATATATTCAGAATAATCAGTTATAGATATATAATATAAATTCAATTACTATAAAACTTACTAATAATTATAAAAGAAAGTTAACTTATTTATAACAATCAAGAAACTAAAGCTAGATACTTATTATATATCTGAAATTAATATATAAGTTCTTAATATTTAATACTATAATCTTATACTTAATAAATTATAACTTTATTATATCAATCTTATTATTAACTGGTATAGTAATTCTATAATATTTAATTATAATAACAAAGTAATAAAGATTAATATTAGTAAAAATAAACTTATATCTAGTTGCAATTTACTTTATATTTCTCATCAATAATTTGTTAAAATTCTGTCTAATACTAAGTTATTTATAATCTGTACTATAATAAAAGAAATATCAACTTCTCATAAAATTATCTAATTAATCAAAGAATTTACTAATATATTTTCTAATTTACTTTCTAATAAGTTATTATCAAAATATATTATAGATCATACTATTAATTTAATATCTAATTCTGAATTATCATCTTATTATATATATTACTTATCTTATATTAAAATAGATAAATTAAAAAAATAATTATCTGAATTATTTAGCAAAGATTTCATTCATTCAAGTCTTTTACTATTTGGAATACCTATCTTATTTATATATAAAAAGAAAGAAATTCTTCAACTTTATATAGATTATTATATATTAAATAAAATTATAATTAAAAATTATTATTTTTTATTTTATATTAATGAATTAATAGATAATCTAGCTAGAGTACAATACTTTTCTAAGTTGAATCTTTACTTTAAATATCATTAAATTAGAATTAAAGAAAAAGATATTTATAAAACTATATTTAGAATAAGATATAATTACTATGAATTTCTTATATTATCATTTGATCTTACTAATATACTTATTACTTTTATAACTCTTATAAATAATATTTTTCATAATTATTTAAATAAATTTATTATTATTTATCTTAATAATATTCTTATATTCAGTAATATTAAAGAAGAATATCTCAATTATCTTTATATTATTTTTTTAAACTTAATAAATATAAACTTTATATTAAATTAAAGAAATATAAACTCATAAAGCAATATATAATGAATACTTAGATCATTTTATCTTGAATCAAGAAATTTTGATAAATCAACACAAAATTATTATTATTTATAACTGGTCTTAACCAACTAATATTTCTGAGCTTTGATTATTTTTAGATTTTATTAGTTATTATAGAAAATTTATTAAAGAATTTTTTGTAATTATCTCATTACTTATAGTCTTATTTTATAAAGATTATAAGTATATTTGAAATAAGCCTAAATAAAAAGCATTTGATAATTCAAAATAGTATTTAATTATTATATCTATCTTAATTTTGCCATATCCTAAATTACTTTTCATTATAATAATTGATATATTTGAATTTATTATAAGAGTCATTCTTAGTCAAAATTATAGGAAAGAATATCAATTTATTATCTATTAGTCATATAAATTATTATCTGCTAAGCAAAACTATTCTATATATAAAAAGAAACTTCTTATTATTATATATATTATTTATTTTTGAAAATTATATTTAAAAGATTAATACTTTTACTATTATTACTAATTATATATTTCTTGAATATATTAAAATATAACATAATCTTTTTAAATATTAAGCTTATTAGCTAAAAATCTTATAAGCTAATAATTTTATTATTAAGTATAAATTAGATAAAGAAAATATTATTATTAATACTTTATCTCATCTATTATAAGTGAATAATATTACTATAATCTCTGTACAACTAATTAATAAAAAAAAGTTATATTAAGAATATGAAAATAATAATTATTTCAAAGAAATCTGAACAACATAATTTTGAATCAGTTATATTAAAGTAATAATCAAGAATATATTATTTTAAATTGAATAATAATTTAAAAGATATAAAATAACTTGCTATATCAAAAGATAAATCTTTAAGAATATAAATCTTAGAAGAATATCATAATATTCCTATCTCTAGTCATCTTGAAATTGATAAAACTTATAAGTAATTATAATAATACTATTATTAATCAAAAATATTCAGGATATTTATAAATATATTCTCAGTTATAAAGAATATCAAAGAAATAAAAGTAATAATCAATTACTTTCAGATCTTTTATAACTCTTAAAAATATCTAAGCAATACTAAGAATAAATTATTTTGGATTTTATTATATAATTATCTATAACTCATTAAGAATATAATATAATTC